ATTAGTAATCAATACCACCTCAACTTCACCCATGGAGGAGCTTGCAACCTCCTGGACTTATTCACTACAAGACAGATTATTAAACCATTCATCAATTCAACTACTTCAACTGTAATCAAACAATTCCTTACACATAATGCAAGTATTCTAAATGAAGCCCTATGAAATTAGATATCAAGGCAAAAAGGCAAAAAAGATAAATGGGTTCAAACCTAACTCCATCACCAAAATCTATTTTATGTCAAGAATGCATCTAAAACACCAAATGTGATCTCCAATTTCATTGGTAATGCTAGGACCCATCTATATATGCATGGGTATAACAACTTGTATAAGTAATTAATGGGCACATGCATGCATTATTTTTCCATAATTGGTTTCTTATTTCATCTTCAAAATATAAGAAAAACATAACTTTTGTGGGGCCAACCAAATTATACAAATTAGTAGAAACTAAAAAAGATTCTTCTGAAGAAACTATGTAATTTAAGTGACCCAACATATTTGTAATGAACCGATAACCATAAAAACAACTAAATTAAATAAAAGAAATAAAGACTAGTTAAATCATATTAGTTATAATGGAAAACAAATTAAATAAATGCTAAGTGGCCTATTGGATCCTATAAAGAAAGAAATAACCATTAAAGAAAATGTCCACATTAATTGAATAAATGAAAAAAAAATTAAAATACAGGCCAAAGAATCTTTCTAACCTTTTCAACCTGAAATCAAGATAGCAATTAAAGAGCAATGATAAAATCATGTAGTCAATGAAAAATAATATAATATAAATTTGAATGCTGAAATATCAATTCATACCAAGTTTCACAAAATAGGATATTATAGTCTCCTAAAATCCACAAACTCAAATAATATAAAGTTCAAGTAAGCAATTCAAAGAGTTGAAGTCAAAACTGTCCTAAAATCCACATACTCAAATAGATAATATTAATTTAAATGCAACAACCAATTAGGTTCTGTTCATCCCTTGTTTCACAAAATAGAAGACTACAACCCCCTAAAATCTACAAAGTCAAATAATATAAATTTCAAAGTAGACCTTAGTAGCAAAATGATAGATTATATCTATGAAGGATATATCTCAACACCCTACCCTTTTAGTAACTTTCTCCATAGTACTACTATATATTCCTCTAACCTACTTACAGTTGTTATCATACTTGAAGATAAGTTTTGTACAGCCATCGTCCTTGGAGTAATAACCACAATTGGCATCATAGGTGAGTCACGTGTAAAAATCACAATGGGCTACCCTCCATTGCATAGCCCCATAGAGCAAAAATAAATCCMTAAAGCTAATCCTTTGAATATTAGACTTGTAAAACATGGGCCACATAGGAGATTGAAATTCATTTCAAAACTTGTAAAGTTCTATTTTTATGATGTTTCAGCAGATGAAAATTGTTAGGTGCCAATTGGTTAACAAAAGTAGATTTTACCAAAACTTGGAGGATTGATATTTGGGGTTAGACCTTTGAAGAAAATAATTCTGTTTTGCCACATTGTTGTCTTTTTTGTATTTATTGGACTATAGGTGATTAATCCATGAGAAGTGCTCTCATCTTCCTTGGAATAATGGATTCATCATAGGAGATCCCTTGGATAAAAACTTGAATGGAAGGAGTTATCTCAATGCATCAAATGTAAAGGGTAAATGATCATCTATGATCTACTTGGGGCTAAGGAAACCATGGGTTCATATGACTCTTAGATATCTTAAGCAAATTTTAGTAATTGATGGCAAAATGTCTATGGAGCAATCAACCAAACACATGGAGTACGTTTTAGTAACCACCCAATCCACACCTCATATAGATTTTTCAGTTAGTAAATTGAACAAACTCATTAACATATAGAGTTTGTCCTCTAAAAAGAATGTTATCAGAACTGAAGGAAAATGTCTTGCATTCAAACTGGATTTGTTTAAGAAAAGAAAAACATGCATGACTAAGTTTAATCCGATGGGTTCTACAACATCTTTTATTTTTAGAGAAAAAGTTATAATTAAAATTAAAAATGAATTAGGTAGAAGTACTTTACTGCTAGATTAATATGTTGTTGGAATGCCTGAACCATGTTAATGGCATCTTATTTGTCCTACCTGATCGAAAATCATTCAACTATCCCTTCTGGCAAAATCGATTTTGATGAGAAAGGAACAAAACTGATTGACTTGGCATAATCGGCTCTTTTATTATCATCAAACTTAAAGTAGAAGGAACAAAACTATAGCTCTTATGGGTAAAAATGAAAATTTCTTTTGATAATATGGGTAAAAAGGGATATGTCAAATCAAAGTCTTTTGACGACAAATAATGAACCATTCTCATTTTTATTAATGGGTAATAGATAGTGAGGTTACAAAAGTCGATAAACAACTATATGTGAGGGTTATATAGTTGTAGAGATTATAACCGTTTGACATGGAACATAAAGTAGTTTTTTTATTTTTTTTACACAGTAAAGTAAATATTCTTAGGGATTTGGACAAAAGAAGCCTAGAAATTTGAACTCTCCTCTTTTTAACTCACATCCTAGCTACCACCTTTCATCGAGAAGTAATGCTAAACCGGTGGTTATCTTTTTAATTATGTTGGATTTTAATCTCATTAGAKATTAAATTTAATGAGGTTTGATTGGTTAATTACATGGAAAAAATACATCTGTACATGTATTTTGGAAAATAGTTTTTTTATACTAAAATCAGTTTTCAACCTGTTCAACATTGGAAAAATTATTAAACATGTTTTGAGTTTTTTAATAGGAGCTTGTTTACATTTCTTTAGAATAATAAAAGGAGAGTATGRAGTCTTGCTATCACGCAATGCGTGCGTACACGCGACACAATGAGACACTTTAGAGGTGCATTTTGCTCGCACTTTTAAAGTTAACAATCATTAACTATTAATTACATTTTTAACAATCACAAGGTTTGAAATTGTGATTGTTCACAAAGCCTTTTCTGAACCAGCACCCTCCTTTTCTCCACAACTCTTCAGAAATTATATAAGTAGCATGAATAAAGCAAATGAATATAAGTTTTCGAAAATCACTATTGTCTCTCTCAGTTCGATCAGCTACTGTTTCACAAAAGGTTTTTTCGGAGATTCTTCAACACTGCTGATTGCRAATTCTCACCCAAAGCTATGTTGTATCTTGAAAACAAATTTGCTTATAACCCAACAACAAACTCAATATAACTAAGTGGGGGAAAATAATRCTCTAAAGACAATGTCTTTAGACACGCTTCAGAGCTTCTCCTCCAAATTTCCGTGATCTCAATTTCCAACAAATTAAACAAAAAGATGCAGGCTCCATGGATCGAATGAACCTTTTTGTCCTTCCAGCTTCATCTCTTCGACCTAACTCAGAACGAGTCTGGATCTCCTATTTTTTGATGCACCAGCCAGCTTCACCAAACAACCTCTTAATTCAACTTCCTTTAACTGAAAAGAAAAGATAGAAGCTCCGTGTGGAGTGTGGGAACTCTTGACCACCACCATCACTTCGTAACAGTCAAGTCATATATAGTATACATGAAGAGTTAGATGAAGTGAAAACCGTGTATATTATAATCTCTCCGGTCGATTTGAAGGTTGATGTTCACTTCGACGGTAGAGGAAGAGATGGAAGGGGAAGGATGTTTAGACGACCCTTTTTTTTTTGGTGGTGACTTGCTTTAGGGGTAACAGAAGTTTCTTTCTAAGCTTTTGGGCAGTCCAAGAGTAGAAAGTGGTGCTCTATATATTGGTGTTTGATCAAGGGTCTAGCTTTCAGTTTCAGTAGGTCTCTCTCTCTATATATATATAGGTTTCATGATCTGCTTGTGCTTGGTGTATTCACCGCAGATCCGCAATCAACTCTCATTATTTTTGAAATTTGGATYGACAAAAAAATAGTTTCATTTTCCCTCTTCTTTTTCAATTCAAAACTCATCCTTTGGACCAGTCAACTTGGAAAAAAAAAAGAAAAGGCTTTTTCTCAACTCATCATCGAGTACTGAACTTGTTTTATTGGTAAAGCATGAAACTCCGAACTGATAAATAGCAAAATCTGTGTTTGGTTTGAAGGAAAAAGTAGGGAAAGGAAAGAAAAGGTAGAGAAACCTTTACAAACCTTATATGAATTTCTTAACTTTTCCTTTCCCCACCTTTTTCTTCAAACCAAACATAGCTACTCAACCTGCAGGCACCAATCAAATGGATGGGATTTCAACCTTCATGAGGGAATAAATGATATATATCCAGGATGGTAAGTAGTATACTAGCTGAAAGCAAGATTCAACACATTAATTCTATCAATTGTTTGAATGCAAAGAACAAAATAAAAAATATTGATGTAAAGAATAAGAAACGTGCTTTAACTCAACATGCACGCATGGTTTTAAAGGGGAGAATGGATAAGGATAATTAATTCGGGGTTGATTGGTTTGCAAGTGCAATTTCATTTGTTCTGGCGAAAAAGTATGGGACTGCAAATGCTTTGAATAATGCACATCCTGATATATTTTTGTTTCAACTGTTGACTTATATTTGCATTGTAAATGTAGTGAAATAAAACCTGAAGCAAAGTAAAGTGAAATCCAAATCCAGAGTAAACCAGAATTTACATTTCTTTCATTTGTACTCTCAGGCATTTGTACTATTGCAAATAAAGTTGCACTTCACACAAATGGAGCCTATTGGAACAAATGCAGAAGGGGTAAATAAGTAAATATAATTGCCAAACGAATTAATGACTATACCATGCCAGAGCTTGATTTGATTTACTACTGATCATAATGCATCGTCCAGTCAATCTGGCTAAGGCTTTTACATAATCCCCCATTCCTGACTCAATTCCATTTTATTTAAATCATGATGACAAGGCCTCTGCTACCCACCCATGCCACCAACCTCTAAAACCCCAAGGAAATGACTCTTCTCTCAAAGAATGAAAACCCAAAGAAAGAATCTAGAAAACAAGATTGAATTACTTTTGAATGGTCCAAAATTAAGCAAGAATAATTAATTGTATTCTTAGGAAACCATCCATTTATTTGATAGTATGAAGTAGCCAATGTAGATGCATTTTTGGTCTAGAATGCACATCTCTTACATCAGGTCTTCAATAGTATATGTGCTGCTGGCTCAATCATTTGAACCAGCTAGCTAGGCACTACCCTTTTTTTCTTTTTTGGTACTGTAAGGGCTACTTACTACATGCATGTTTCTGCTTTATTATTAACTAGCAAACAGAAGCACATGAACACAAACATAAACACACAAAACAGCAAACACGAACAGCAACACACGCTCACACACTTATATCGGTTTGTACCAGCAGTTTCATATTAATCCATCTCTTCTTTTCTCTACTTCTTGCAAACAATTCCGCGACCACTTATGCCACTTCCACACTCCATACTGGCATATTCCGAAGCACCGATTATTGGCAACTGTCCTCGTCGGAAGCGAGCCACTGAGCAATCAGTGGAGAAGAGATCGGTTGAGGAGAATTCACGCACACCACCCATCACCGGCATTGCAGCTGATATCTTGACCCTGCTGGTGTAGTCTCTCCTGTATGTCTGACCCAACACACCGTTCACGTCATCACTGAGTGAATAGAATTTGAAGCCAAGCTCGAGATGAGCAAAGCAATCATCCTTGGTGATGCCATAGTTGTGAATTCGGGATTCTTCTTCGGTGATGGGGACAACTGTTGCTGTGATTTTGAAGTTCCCTTGGACTTCAACGCTGATAGCGTTGGTGTCCTTGGTTCTAGTGATAGAAACACCTGGTGCCACGGTTGATTGCCACTTAACACCTTCACCTTCCGGAAGGAAGATGGGTTCACCATTGAAAGTAATGAAGAGACGATCGACAGCATCGTCCCATGTAGAGGTCTTGAGGGCACCAACAGAGATTTGGTGGGTGTCAAAGAGAACACCGAGGGACTGAACCCAGGTGAAGTCCCGGTGCAAGTTGGGGTTCCGACGGCCAATGAAGTGGGCATTGATGTGGAGGTTGGAGTCAGAAACAAGACAGAAGTCACGATCTTTCTTGCCATGGAAGTAGAAGGTAATTCCATCTCCGCCTATGAATCTGGGGTCCTGACACACAGCCCCCGGAATGTCGCAACCTGTTGTGCATGACATGAACACTCAAAAGTGTTAAATTCTCGAAGAATACAAATTAAAAGGCCTAGACCCAAAGGTCGATTGACTGTCTAATTTGGTCGGACCCTTTTCTATAGAAAAGAGAACCAATCTCAAACCGATGTTTGAACCAGCCCAACTTTCAATCCCTATGCTCAAGTCCAATATCATAATTAAGGGTTTATATGATGAAAGGGACTAAGGGAGAGAGAATGATAAAGCGGACTTACTGCAAACAGGTTTGCAGGTAACACAGTCAACAAAGCATGAGTAGGGGCAACTGGCAGGGCATGGGAACTGCTGATTGTAGCAGGCCGAGTACTTCACCTTGCATTTTGCCTTGGCGACCTGATTGCCGTTGCCATTCCCATTCCCATTTCCATTTCCATTCCCATTTCCATTCCCATTCCCATTCCCATTCCCATTCCCATTGCCTTGGCCATTTGCTACCTCGGCCAAAACAACCATGAAAACGAGGAAAAGACAAACAACAAGGCGCACCATGGCTCGAGCCATTTATTTAGCTATATATTAGAATGATCACTTTCTCAGTAGCAACTTTGGTTAGAATATCAGCTGCTTTGTGTTGATGGTTGGTTCCCTTCACCCCCCCTTTTATACAAATCATAAGGTGTAGACTGTAGACTGTAGAGGGGCGGGTAGTCTATGTTGAGTGAAAGAGATGCAACTTGGCATGTGGGCTTAGAGAGCCCCCTAACTTCACGTGGTCTTCTTCAATTCAATGTATCTCTTTATTGTTGCTTTGCTTAGCTTTCTTGCTTGCTGCCTTTGCGTGAATGTGTACATTTTCATGGACGGTACTAAAATACTGGATTCAGATCTAGGGAGAAACTCTATGCATACAAGAAATACCACCAATTAATACCAGAGAGATTTCACTCCCCATATATATGCAACCTATAATTAAAGGAAGAAAATTAATTAAATCAAGTGACTCCCCGAACTTATCACTTGTCTTAATTAGTCCAAGAAATGCCCAATTAAGAAATACCCCAGAAAGAAGTTGTTCATAAAATATAATGGATCTCCATTAACCTTTCGATCCTATAAAGATGCACAAACACTGATAATGTATAATTCATCTTCAGATATATGGTAAATACATGGTTTAGTCTCCATCTGGCTAGTGGTTTAAGTTCCTGAACCAACTCAACTTGAAGTCCTATTGGATTGTCAGGTAATTAAATTATTAACCGGCCCACTTGGGTTTTTTTTAGGATTAAATTGTTACATTGCCCAACGTAGAGACAGAGAGTCATAGACTTGTCCTAGGATGATCTCGGGTCAAGAGCATTTACTTGGCTTGATTATTAACAAAGAAGTCCAATGATGGATTCAAGGGGAGGCTTCCAATTTCTTTTTTTTTTTTCATTTTCTTGGGAAGAATGTCGTATAAGGACTCTTTCACCAATAATATATATCTTACTATAATAGTTAGCTGATATACATCTAAACAAGTTGATATGCAAAGTAAAGGAATAAAATAAATGATATAATTAATTTCAGTAAAGAAGTAATGTGTTCCCTTCACAAGGAAAACGACGAGCGACATGTCATCTGTAGTCTGTACAATTACTTGCAATCAAAGACCAAGATATGAGTCGGAGAGTCGTCTCATAATGTCAGCTCTTTGTGGTGTCTGTAGTGAATTACTACTCAAGTCTCAAGGGCTTTTTGAAAAAAAAAATACTCAAGTTTGATGTGGAGAAATCAGACTATATAACTTGCTATGTGGCTAAATGGTCAGAGCTGACATTTTTACCAGTCAAGAAAACTTCTACCAAGGTGGGCCCTTTGTGATATATCCAATGGTTCAGACCGCCAAAAACGTATGCTCCATTCCATGTGGAGATGCAGATGCCCCAGCCCCATGGAGTAACGCTGCATGGGATCATCATTCAATTCGGATGATATATGAATATGTAAACATTAGAAAACTCCCCCTCTAATTAGAATTTACAAATTTCCTTGATTTGGGCAATGCTTGATAATGGTTAATTACTGAACAGTAGGCCGAGAAGGGAAAATAAAAAATAAAAAAATAAACAAAAACTTCATTAAACCAGCAACATAGTCCTCGAAAATACGAAAGAAAAGTTTCAGATAGCATGTTTATGGTATTACTTGTAACATGTTTCAGTCCCTTTAAATGCCCAAGAATGAATTTGTTCATAAACTCTGATCTCACTGAAATATCACAGTAACTACTAAACTTTAAGTTCTGGATTTTGAATTAAATTAGGTTCACCTGTCTTAAGGACCTATGATAATCTCTGGCAAAGAGGTTTTAATTGTTTTTTAATTTCTTTTTTTTTTTATAATCCATGCCCTGATGTAGCCTCATGGGGCTAGACAATGGGAGTAGCCCCAAGCCAACTAGATTTGATCCCGAGTCTCTGCTTCCATTACGGGTGGAACTTGGGTAGGTTTTGGGTTGGGCTTTTCCCAAAAATTTGAATGGGTAAGCCTGAACAAGTATAAAATGTTAATCGGTGCCAACTCAACTTACAGCCCTAGCTAGAGACCCTACCAACTGAGTCACCAGGCCATCAGTTGATCTGGTCAAGAGCTTTGTTTGGTTATTAACAAAGAAATCCAATAATAAATTCAAAAGGTGACTTTGATTTTTTTCTTCTTTTCATCATGGAAGGGGGGGGTCGTATTTGGACTCTTTCACCAGTAATATATCTGATTATGATATCTAAATAAGTTGTAAAGGAATAAAATAAATGATTATTTCAGTAAAGAAGTACCAGTTTACGTACCTTCACAATGAAAAAGAGCCATATTGTCTCACAAGTCATAACTTTTTTGGCAAGTGGTGATACAAAGAACAAACCTACCTGCTCAGGAGTCTCTCTCTCTCTCCATATATATCTCTTGGCATGTGTCTATCGAATCTATACCTATGACACATAGAGGAAAGAGGGAGGCCAAGAGTCCTCTTACCTCAATGCTCACAGAAAAATCCTTCTCTCATTTGTCACACATGTGCTTATACTTATTCATACTTAAACTAAATTATAAAAAGATATAAAAAGTTGAAATAAAAAAAAAAAAGTAAAAAACCTCTCAGGTCCTATATTCTTCTTTTCCCCTTAAATCCCTCTTAACTAGGGCTGATCGTAGGCTAGGTTGTAGGCTAGGTCGGATCGGGCTTTGGCATCAGATCTACAATAACTATTGTTTGTTCAGTAGTTTGAACAGATCTGCAACTAGTTGGTTCAAATAAACTAGCTAGCAATTACTATTCTTTTGGTAGGGCTACAGCATTTTTGCGTTGTAGGTTGGGCCTCGACCAAAAACTCAGGCCTAGCCTAAACTTGGGTTGAGGCCTCAAGTAATCCAAGCCCAACCCTAACTTGGCCCAATCCAACCCATGTCATACCTAACCTGAGCCCACTCGAATAAATACATACATAGATGTAGGGGTGGCAATTTTTCACCCAACCCACTGAATCCACCCAATTCGCCCATTTACTTGGCGGTTTGGAAATGGGTTGATCATCCAACCTGTCCATTTAAATGGGTTGGGTTGGATTGGGTTGTGGGTAACCATTGGATTAACCATTACAAATATAAGTAGTAATTCTTTAGCCTTTTTTTTATTTTCTTCATTTGAATTAAATAATTTATAATTAATGCATTAATTTTCTATTAATTATTGACTAAATTTAGTTTTGTCTTGAATCAACACACTTCATCCAACATAAATCTAAATCAATTTGACCCGAGTCCGAATCAGTTCAACGCGGCCTGACTTGATTCAGCATATACCGATCGGTCGACTCGAATTCGAAATAGACACCGGGCAGGATGGTTTGGTACCGCTTGCTCTGCCCGGTTTGAGTCGTTTGGTCCAACCAATATTCACATAGCCCGGCCCGATCCAGGTCGACTCGAATCTGAAATGATTTCGGGCAGGATGGTTCGGTGTCCACGTGCTTTGCCTAGTCTAGATCATCCGGACGACCAATATCCACACAACCCTACCCGAATCTGGACTGACTCGATTTACTTACGTTGACCAGCTTCGGGTCAGTTGGTTCGGTCCCAAACCTCACAAACCTGATATGGTATGGTCCAAGTCAATCCACCATTGACTGAACCGATCCGGTCCGGTTTGACCAGATTGATCCAGATCTAAAGGTTCAACCACCCTTGATGTGATTAGCTCGAAGATAATCCAATTAGATAGTTCAAGTTGGTCTGACCGGTTTGAACCTGAGTGGCTCGATCAAACCTGAAATCCAAACATAGTCAAATGGTTTCGCTGCTTGTGTAAAAATAACATGCATGTAATGTGATTTGAACCTTCAATGCTTGTGTAAATAGTAACTACAATTACCACCAAGCTATGAGTTATGACCAACTTATTTGTTAAGAGAGAGAGAGTTTGGGCGGATTGAATTGGGTTAAAGCGGGTTTGGGTTGAACTTAAACCATTTAATTTTATATAACTGGATCATTAATGGGTTGGCGGGTTAGATGAGTTGAGCTCAACCCGCCCAATTGCCACCGCTACATAGATGCATTATATTTATATAAAATCATAATTTTCTAATTGTATATACATTATATGTGTAWAAAATATGCATATGTACATTTGTGAATGCATATTTTCAACCAAATTTATTCTTAAATTACGCCATAAATCTCACTAAATGATAATCATATAAAAGTGTAATCATATTTTCTTTCAAACCTGATCAACCCACCCGACCCAGCTCAACCCAACCCCACTTATGTTGAATTAAGCATAGGTTGGGCCTAGTTGATATACTCAGGAATGACCTCAAAATGGGTCAGACTCAAACACAAGATTTGCACCTTTGGGATTGGTCTTGGGTTGACCTTCAACCCTACCTCAAAAGCGGTTTTTTCATTCTTTCTTTTATCTCGTTTTATTTATGGTCCTTTAGCTTGGAGGGCATTGCCGTTCATATGGTTTGGGGATGACGATATGACTAGATGTCTTCTTGCTCCTACAAAGGAAGACACCAGTGGCTGCTTGGGGTCTAACCCAACCACAAACGTGAACTGCTGGTAGTTTTATGGTCTGTTGATTTTGATCGGTTCAGTTCTGTTAGATTTGTTTAATTTTTTTCTTGGTTTTGCTTAAGGTTGAGAGCAGTGAGAACCTGATAGATCAGGTTCAAAGAGATTAAGGGACATGAATGTGGGTTTTCACATCAATCCAAATTTTTTGGCAACCACAAATGATCCACATGGTTGGGAATGATCTATTAAATCTCAGGGCCTATTTGTTTTTTCTAATATTTGACATCTGAAAGTGCACTAATTACATTAAGAGGTATATTGGTATTTATAAAATTTATTTCCTCTCAACTCTAAATGCAAAGAATGTTGTTCTGAATTCTGAAATTTTGAAAATTGTCAAATGTCCATTTTAACCTCATAAATGAGAATTATTGTTTGTATTTTGGGAGTATCATTGAAAAACAAAAAGTTGTAAGATTTCTCTTTAAGACATAGGAGATAAGAGGAAAGAACACCCATTCTTCTCTTAAAGTTGTAAAATTCCTCTTAAGAGATAAGAGTTAAGAGGAAATGAACAAGTCCTCAGTCTTCCCACTATTGAGAAAGACACCAGTGGTTGTGTGAGGTTTAAGTCATTTCGCCATAATTTCCACCCACCCTTTTTCCTTTTCTGTGATTATATTTCTTCAATACCCCAAAGATTGTGTTTTTATCTTGCTATTGTTCCCTTTTGCATTCTCCATTTTGGTTTTACTTTTTATAAGGGATTTACTTGTAAGTTTCTTGTAATAACCTTACTTTTTCTCCTAGACTAGAAATAATATAATGTTGTGAAAACTTATTTCTCAGGATTCTAATTTTGAGTTTGGATGTGGCAGATATACAGGGCATTGGCCTAAACATTGTAGCATTGGCATTTTCCATACAGACACCAAGCCTCAAATTCTTTTGGTATGTCCTTGAACTACATGCCCAACTCTCGTAGTTTAAAAACATATGATTTTTGTTCTATAAATGAGTTATGATTTCATATGTGTGAAATTTGTTTAGTTTAAAAATATATATTTTGACTGTTATTTGAATAGTTTAGCCAAAACAATGATGAACAAGGGGTTTGTGGATGGAAAAGGGTAGATTTAATGAGGACTGAAACTAAGTAATATATAGGTTTTCTAAGAGAAAAGGTTTTTTTAAGACTTAGAAGTAGAGGTGCAACTTGGACAGGTTARGGTTGAGATTTTATCAAAATTTGAATAGACCTGACCTGAAGCCAAGCCCATGCCCTAGTGTAAAATGTTAACTTGGGCCAATCCGAATTGCACCCCTACCTAGAAAAAAGTCATTTGATTCATGGTATTGGAAAAGACTCAAAAGAATATACCTATAAGCCAAGACTGAAATGATACACCTTTACAGAGGTTATTAGTATTCTACCCAAATTCAAGAAAATATACCATAGTTTCAAGGAAGCCTGGCAAAATAGGTCTGACATTGACTTATCAAGAATAAAAGAGGACATTACTTGAAGTAGCTCAATTTGTCGCTTGCCTCGGTTCATCTTCTTTCCTTCTCTTTATTTATTATCCAGATTCAGATTCAGACTGCAACAACCCTCATGTGCAATGAATATCGTTTTCAACAAGTGATAATGTATCAAAAAGTTATTGCATCAAAGTGGAATGAGTATTTTAACTTATTTTTGTTAATATATAACTCTTGGAGAATAACTGGATCTTGAGCACATAATCTGAAACAGAGTTCATGTGCTTAATCCTAAGCTTCTTCCAGCTCCAGGTAACAAGTTTGCCAGAGAAGGAACCCTTATTAACATGAAGCTAACCTTGTGCTTAGTCAGTCGAATGTGCTTGGTACACTGGAAATAATCTGAAACATCCGATTGGAATAGCCCATCCATTCATATGTACCCCTGATACACTGGATCAGTAATTTCTCTTTGCAACACTTCAACGGGTGTGGTGTTGTCAGTTGTGTATGTGTCATTGTCCTGCCTCGAAAAGCAAACAGCACAGCTCACAACAATACCAAACACCACTTAAGAATAGACAGATTGTTTTGTTTGGGTAAATTATAAAGACCCCCTGTACTGTGGGATCAGTCACAAAGACCCTCTGTACTTTTGTTTTGCGACAATTCSGTTAGTTTTTCGTCGAAATCCGCCGTTTTAATCTCCAAACTACCCTTATAATAAATATTCAAAAAGCACTGTTGATCTTCCCTTGCTCAGATACACAAACAATACCTCAATTCCTGCTCCTCAAGCCTTTCTTCACTGGTTGCCCAGAAAACAACAGATCCAAATGAGCTCTTCAAGTTCTCCCTCCAAGTTGCCCTTACCGAGCTCTCAAAGCTCGCTTCTTTACCCACGAAGCTTATCCCCAAGGTCAACGGCGATCCTCTTCTCGTGGCCACGCTGTGTGATTGCCAAACCCAGTTTGAAGACGCCATAGATCAATTCGTCCATGCACCCTGGTGACCGGAGACTGCTGCAAGAGATGGTTCTGTGGATCCGATTGGTCATACATACCTTGTTGTTGAAGAATCAAAACCAACAAACAGAGAGCACCAACTCTTTCAACCGTTCAAATGTTATCATGGTTCTGTGGTTCTTGCAATGGCCGCCGCTCCGCTTGGCGCTCGTTGAGGGAAGAAACGAAATTGAAAGGTGGGGTGATATTGACCTTGGTTTTGGGATTTGCTCCTGGTCCACTTTATACGTCGACCACCTCAGCTTCAAGGAATGGTCTTCCGCCGCCGCGTACTTCAGGCAAGTGGTGATGGTCCCCTACTGAATCCAGCTCAGGATTCCAGGCTCATCTCTCCATCTCAACCAGACCCGGGGTTCTTCCCTGCTGGCAAGACGAAATATCTTACTTAATTTACTCTGTCCAGCCCAACCGAGCGCCATCTCGAATACTTGGAGTACATCCATAAGGACAACTCGTACTGTTGGTAATGCAATTCCAGCCTACAACAACAGTCCATGAACAAAGACAAGAAAAGAGAGTACAGATTGTGTGTGTGTGCATGTATGACCAATCGGATCCACGGAATCGTCTCCTACAGCAGTCTCCGGTCACCAGGGTGCATTCACGCCGGAAACTCATCAGAGTCAGACCCCACATCCAATAGCTTCCGATGGATTGGAAGCACTGTTGCAGCGGTCGAGTTCTTCATTGCTACCCTCAACTCTTCAAGCACTGTTGCAGAGGTGGTGCTGTTCAACTCTTGTAGCCCGTCTAAGCAGGACTGCTCATTTGTGATTGCCACGCTGAGCCATGTCCTAAGGTCACTGATCTTGGAAACAGAGCTCGGTAAGGGCACCTTGAAGGCTTGAGAAGCAAGAATTGGGGTTTGTTCGTGTATTCTGAGGTCAGGTGAGATCAACAGTGTTTTTCTTCCAATTGTTAGAATATTTATTACAATGCAAGTATGGAGATTAAAACGGTGGATTTCAATGGAAAAGTAAGGAAGAGTGTCTTTGCCTGACGGTCATAGTACAGGGGGTCTTTGTAGCAAAACAAAGTACAGAGGGCCTTTATCACAGAACCTATAGTACAGGGGGTCTTTGTAATTTACCTTTTTTTGGAAAGCGGAATAGCATTCTTACATTGAACCAAGTGTTCTAAGTTTCTCGTTTGTTCTTTGTTTGACGTCTTTGAGACATTTCCTGTCACTTGGTCCAAAAACAATATGAACTCCTAGGCTCAGTTTGGAAGAAAACGAATGCAAAACCTTATATTTTGTATATGTTTGCACTGTTCATGTTTGCATTTATACTCCTTCCAAACTGACCCTTAAGATTCATCATAAAATAATAAATTCAAAGATTACGACTTTTTGCTCTTCAAATTTTCCAAGGATTTAAGACTGATAACTTAACAGAAACTGGAAGCGCCAGGCTACCCCAGTCCTACCTACCAGAAGGTCCAGAACCAGTTGACCCGCTGCCACCTTAAACCCCATTAACCCAGAATTATCCCCCAGCCCCGATAGGTGAACACTTCCAATGACTCAAATCTGGTCCCACACCAGAACCAGATTGACGTGTCTTCTGTCCAACTCGGAGCCTGGGTGAGGCTGCTGGCTGCTACCAAAAATAGCGAGGGCCCATACAATGCAATGCAAGAGATATGACCATGCTCGGTTGCAGAACTGATGAACGCCATAGGAAACCAGAATAGCTCAGGCAAAACTTGGAATCATTCAGAACTGCAAATTAATAAAAAAGTTGTAGTTCCCACAAAAAATTACACAACAGCTGTTGGAACTTGGAAGGTTGAAGATATGCAGAGATCATTCCTTTAAATCTTCGGATCTTCCCATCTAATCCCTTTCCCAACTCCATTTTGAAGCCTTACAAAATGGCGATACGCTCTGTTACAGTGAACAACAGCCTCCTTCAAAAAATTGATGCCTCCACGGGTAAAGTATAAACTATACGGTCAATTCACATGCATTCGAAGTAACCAAAATCTCCGCTGTTCCATTAAAATCTTCGACTCGTGCTGTATTCTACAATCTCTTAAAATTCTAGTGACACACTTGTTCACTAGAATCAAATCTATAAGTCACTTCAGATCCAGATGCTGATCACAAATCAAGCTCCAAGAAACAGGTTGTTGTAAGCCCTCAACAGTGTAGCCGTAGTTGCCGACCATGAAGGTTTTTTTGTTTTGTGAGTTCCTTCCTCCTCTTTCGAGCCACAGCTGCAACAGCAGCATCCACCAGTCTAGTAGGTACATGCACTTTTTCTTGCCGACCATGAAGATTTTTTTGCTTTGTGAGTTCCTTCCTCCTCTTTCGAGCGAGAGCTGCAACAGCAGCATCCACCAGTCTAACAGGTGCATGCATCTTTTCTTGCAAAGGGCTTGCAACATGACTAGCTGTGGAAGAAAGAGGTTCATCTGCACAAATAGAATGAGGATGGACCTCTTTCTCAGAACGGTTTTTTAGCTTTGTGAGTTCCTTCCTCCTCTTTCGAGCCACAGCTGCAATAGCTGCATCCACCAGTCTCTTGCTCAAGTGCATTGTAGGCGCATGCATCTTTTCTCGCACAGGGCTTGCAACATGACTAGCTATCGAAGAAACAGGTTCATCTCCGCAAGCAGAATGTGGATGGACCTCCTTCTCACAATGGCTTTTTTCCCTTGTGAGTTCCTTCCTCCTCTTTTGAGCCTCAGCTGCAACAGCCGCATCCACCAATCTCCTACTCGAGTACATTGTAAGTACATGCATCTCTTCTTGCGAAGGGCTTGCAACATGACTAACTGTAGAAAAAACAGGTTCCTCTGCACAAGTAGAATGTGGATGGACATGGACCTCTTTCTTACAAAGGTTCTTTTGCTTTGTGAGTTCCTTCCTCCTCATTCGAGCCTCAGCTGCAACGGCCACATCCACCAGGCTCTTACTCAAGTGCATTGTAGGTGCATGCATCTCTTCTCCTGAAGGGCTTGCAACATGACTGGCTGTGGAAAAAACAGGTTCATCTGCGCAAGTAGAATGTGGACGGACCTCTTTCTTACAGAGGAGGTTTTTTCGCTTTGTGAGTTCCTTCCTCTTCTTTCGAGCCTCAGCTGCAACAGCTGCATCCACCAGTCTGCTACTCGAGTGCATTGTAGGTACCGGCATCTTTTCTTGTGAAGGGCTTGCAACATGACTAGCTGTGGAAGAAACAGGTTCATCTGCGCAAGTAGAAAGTAGATGGACCTCTTTCTCACAGAGGTTTTTTTGCTTTGTGAGTTCCTTCCTCCTCTTTCGAGCCGCAGCTGCAACAGCCACATCCACCAGTCTCTTACTCGAGTGCATTGTAGGTGCATGTATCTTTTCTCGCAAAGGACTTGCAGCATGACTAGCTGTTGAAGAAACAGGTTCATCTGTGCAAGTAGAATGCGGATGGACCTCTTTCTCACCCTTGGCAGCAGAAGCACGTCTGGTGCATCTATGAAGCGAAGGCATATGTATTGCTCCCTGAGGATAAGGTCCCAATGTCTGACCTCCAGCTGTCGGGAATTCAATTTCAGGAGGATTGTTCCCAGAGTTTGCTTCTGTAGAACTTGAAACATCTATTTTGACTTCCATGTTTAAAGATGGGTTGTTGCTATCTACATTTAATATTTCTTTTGAAGATTCCCCATCACGCTGGTCATTGTTAGAAGCATCTTCTTGTTTATCCCTCGAACCAGATGAGGCCATGGGGTGAGGCTGGGGGTGGTTTCTATGGTCAGGAAGAGGGAAGTACCATGGACATGGCAATAGATAAAAGGGAGTTCTTGGCTCGTTAGGAAATGGGGTGTTTCCTTGTTCATGTGATGAGATGGGATGCACTTGATCTTGCAGCATGGTAGCATGAACAGGTTGCATTTGGACAGGATTAAACGCTTGGATGATGGAGGGGCAAATAAAAGGTGGAAATGGGAGCCCATTGTAGATGAGAAATGGCAGCTCTGAAGCTGAAGGTGCTGGTATCTCAACATGGGTTGATGCAGTTTCTTCTGGTGTTCCTTGCACTGCAGCCTTTACTTTCTTGGCTATCTGCAGAATGCAAGGGATCAGCTATAAGAATTATTATAATGTTGAAAAAATAGACATTATATACAGCATCAGGTGGAAGTTTTACCCGTGATTTTAACTGTTCATTTCTTTCTTTCAGCAACTTATATTCTTTCACAGCCAAATCCTTTTCCTTCTCTCAGTAAAAGTGTCACAAAAATGTGAATGGGTTCAGTAAATGGTCGTGACGTTAACCTAGGAAAGGAATTCAAGGACAATATGGATTGAGAAAAAAGGGGTAGAGCAAAGCTCTGAAATGTGGTGCAAAGAATAGAAATACTTGGTTAATTCTCCGAATTTTGTTTATCATGCCCATAAAATAGAAATGCTTCTGATAAGGATATACTGAATTAACAGGACCACATACCCGCTTCATGTTCTCATTGGCCCGTGCTAGATCATCAGCTTTTCTTGTCAACTCCTCACACATGGCCTGGGATAAGAGAATGATCACAAGGACTGAAAAATTATGAACATAAGGAGAATCTAATTATATTAAAACAAATAATGCGATCTCATAGATAATATAAAAAAGTAAAATAGGCATTTAACACAAATTTCAGATTATATTTATTGGCATAGAAAATGAAATACCTTTACTAAAAAAAAAGACATGAAAAATGAAATAACAGTGTATTAGATTCTCTGATTTATCTCATATAATTATTCCACAAAAAGGAAAAGGATATTACTTGTACCATTGTTGACCAATCAAATTAACAAACTTTTTGCCAAGTTCCATTTCTATGTCTATCATGTATGGATAACAGACCAAATATATAAAATGTTAATAACATATTCATTTAATTGGTTGACAGATATCCTGAAGATAACATTGATATTCTCATTCCAATCCGTTGCTCTACCTGCAGATCACAATGCTTCCTGGAAAACTTATCTGGCTCATTACTCGAGTAAATCAGATCAAGAACAAATAGCATAATAAACTCCCAAGAGATCTTTTTTATTTCCTAGAATAGGAATTTAACATCCAACTCGATCAACCATCCATATATTATGGAGTGATTGAGAAAAAGAAACTTCTTTTTCTTTTGAGGCCAGATTTCTGCAATTTGCTTAAAATTGGAGCAACTATTAGCTACTAAATCACTCTATCCAGCTTTTCATCATATTCCTCATTCTATAATTTAATATATTCTAGTAATATATAGTTTTTTTCTATTTTATCTTTCTTGCATTCACATCATCAGTTTGTTCCATAAGGCTGCAATCACAGGCAAGGTTCAAAATTTCAACATGGTATGTCCCATATCAGGTACATCATATCGTATCGGTGGCTTGTTGATACGTGAAATACACATCTTTTGGGTTCAAACCCCATTTCAAGGGATAGGCATGCCTTAAACCAACCCCTCTGAAAAGGTTTTGAGAAAAAAAAAATAAGTATGGGGTTCAAAGTACCAATACACCCCTTCCACCATATCAGGGTGTATTGATTCTTTGAACCTTGATCACAGGTAATCATCAGTCCTTTAAAAAATAAATTACTTTGCCTTCATAGAAAGGCAAACACACTTGTGGTAATAGTAATATGAATATCCTGAAAACATATTATCACACAATAGTACATCATGAAAATTATGTAACCAAGATATGCCAAAGGCACAAAGGCACAGAATTCAGGCTCAAATGAATATACTGAACCTAATTTGCATTATCCACAAAATATAGGAATAGAACAAAAAAAGGACATAGGAAACAAAGCATTACCTAGATTAAAGAAAATGTATGAAAATTAAAAAGGTGCTTATGAAAGCCATTTGTTTGATCTAAGTTGATATATGTTTAAAATAGCGTAAGATGGTCTGGTGCTGGTTCAATTAGGAGTTACACTTCTCTAAGTAGCAAGTGTGGTTAAGGAGGTCCTTCTCTTGTACATATTAGTTCAGGAATATGAAGATACGATTCTTCACCCTATCCAGACAACATAGCTAGCCTTGTAACTGTTTTATAAAATTTTACATTTAATCTAAGCAGTATTCCTCCTATCACACAAAAGTCCAGATGCACCCCTCCATTTTTCCCAACTTGCTCTAATTCTCTGGGTGACATCCTCCTCGATCTCTCCCTTGTTATGAAGTATTGAACCAAGGTACCAGAAATGGTCACATTTAGTTATCTCTTGGTTTCCAATCCAAAGTGTTTCCTGATTTACACTCATATTTTCTTTTATCAATAACGGCAGAATTTATTAAGAACAAGAAACTTTACTTACAAGAGGGGGGGGGATAACTTTCTTAACTCCCCCATTTTAGCAAAACAAAAACTACAAGATTAGAAATGAACCCAAAAGAAAGATCCCCCATTCACCCCTTGCTTGGCTAACCCATCAGCAATTAAATCTGATTTACACTCATATTATTACTAAATTTACGTGTCATATACTCTATTTAGTCCTACTTATTTTAAAACCTCTTGTTTCTAGGACATTTGTCCATAAGCTAAATTTTGCATTTAATCCTTCATTAATTTCATCAATTAAAACAATGTCATCTGCAAACAACATGCAATATGGAACCTCTTCTTGAACATGTTTAATTAATTCATCTATGATTAGTGCAAATAGATAAGGGCCAAGTGTAGAACCTTTGTGAAGACCCATCATAACTGTAAAATCTGAAGTCTCTCCCACTAGTGTTCTAACATTGGTTATTGCTCCCTCATACATATCTTTAATTAGGTCTATATACCTATTTTGAACCCCTTTCTTTTCTAAGGCCCACCATATGATCTCTCTAGGAACTCTATCATAAGCCTTTTCTAGATCAATGAACACTATATAAAGATCTTTCCTTTTCTCTCTAAACTTTTCTATCAATCGTCTAAAAAGAAATATAACTTCCATGGTCGATCTCCCTGCTATAAAGCCAAATTGGTTCTCCGCTACACTTGTTTAAAGTCATAATCTTTGTTCAATTATTCTCTCCCAAAGTTTTATAGTGTTGCTCATGAGTTTAATCCCATGATAATTATTACAAATTTGTATGTCACCATTGTTCTTAAATATAGACACCATACTACTACTTTTCCAATCATCAAGCATCCTATTTTCTCTTACTAGCTTATTAAATAGCATAGTTAGCCATAATAATCCTACCTCTCTCATACCTTTCCACACTTCTATTGGAATCCCATCCAATCCTAAAGTCTTTCCCTCCATCTTATTTAGTGCTTCTTTTATTTCAGTAGGTCTAACTCTACAAAGGGTATGTATTATCTTTAACACTATTAGTATTGCTAGCTTCTCCACCATTAGCACCCACTTATTGTTGTTCATTTAATAATTTTTCAAAATAGTTTTTGTTTGATTTCCTCATCTTTTACCAAGAATCTTTGTTCTTCATCTTTAATGCACCTAACATGGTTTAAATCTTTGCCTTTCCTTTCCCTCAGCTTTGCTTTTTTTATCAGCACCACAAAAAATTATTCAATTAATTTTAAAATGAAGATATACAACAACAAGTTATGGGCGAAGATAACAATCCCAAGAAGACTATCCCAATATTTACAAAACAGCCCAAAACACGGATTGTCTCTGAATTCCTTGTTTAGTTAAACCATCAGCCATACTGTTTGCAGATCTCCTAATCCACTTTATTTGGATCACCATGTCTTTAGATATCTGTTTGAAGCACCTGAACTCATTTCTTACCTGCCATATTACTCCTTCCCCCTTTTTCAGCCAACCCACAACTATTTTTGAATCACCTTCAATAATCAGGCTGTCATTCCCATTTCTTTAGCTTTCTCTACTTTGATCTCACCACGTCTCCATTTTGAACAGGGCCTGAATGCATGGCTGGAATGTATCCATTTTCTTCCCTGATTACCCCACAAATACCCAATGCTCCAGGATTGACCATGCAGCTACCATCAAAGTTCAACTTCCATCCAGCACATGGAGGTGACCAGGCCTCATGTACTTTTTGTCTTCTAGAGGAACAGTAAACTATTAGTCCCTACGAGCTGAAGGAATCTTCAACCTTAAAGTCAGCAAAGAGCTTTAATTTTTCACCCAATGTCACCATTAAGGTTATAACCTCTATCACAGCTTTGCTAGTTTATACATTCTTTTTTCTCCCTCTTTAGTGCCCAATTTATGATAAAGCCCATCATAAGCCCTACATTTAGCTTCATCCATTTTCTTTTGACTTCCTTATGGTTTTATGTTTTACCCAATTTTTTGCATTTTTTATCTTTTTGCCATTCTTTGTAGCATGCTCGTTTTTGTATGATTATATTTTGAATCTCTTCATTCCACCACCAAGTTTCTTTAGTACTTTTCTATCTCCCTCTAAATTCTCCTAAGACCTCCTTTGCTACTTTCTTCATATTGTTTGTCATTTCAAGCCAAATATCATTATAATCTTTACATCTAAATTCCAATTCCCTTCTATTATCAAATTGTTTCAAAATTGAGATAGCTTTTCTCCTTTTAGGTTTTCCCACCTAATTCTTGGACACCTATTTTCTTCCCTATTTTGCTTCCATTTCCTAATGCACACATCTACCATCATTAATCTATATTGTATTGTTGAGCTTTCTCTCGGAATAACATTGCAATCTTTACACATCATTCGTTATGTTCTCCTACTAAGGAAAAAAATCAATTTGACTTAYGTTTGATCCACTTTTAAATGTTATCAAGTGTTCATCCTTCTTTTGGAAAAATGTGTTTAAAATTGCCATATTATAAGCTACTGCAGAATCTAATATTACACCTCTTGATTTATTCCTCTCCCCAAATCCAAATCCTCCATGTAACCATATCACATCCTATACTTCTTTCTTTTCATGCCCATCTAAGTCTCCTCCTATAAAAAACTTCTATTCCTTTGAAATTTCTTGGATTAATCCTTCTAAATTTTCCCAAAATTTCCTTTTTAATGTTCTCTTCTAAACCCACTTGGTGTGCATAAACACTAATTATGTTAATGACTTTCTCACCTAAAACAAGTCTAATTAAAATTGTTCTATCCCCAATTCTTTTAACATTTACAGTTTCATTTTTTAAGCCCTTATCTACAATTATCGCTACACCATTTCTATTATTCACCTCTCCCATATATCATAATTTGTAGCCATCAATTTCTTTAGCCTTTTAACCCTTCCATTTAGTTTCTTGTAGGCATGCAATATTAACCCTTCTCCTATTTATAGTGTCTACTAATTCCATAGTTTTTCCTATTACATTCCAAATGGCTAAACAAAGTCATGTTTCTTGGATTAGCTTCTTTACCCACCCCCATTCAAAATGATGTGGAAGCCCTTGTCTATTTGACACCCATGGTCGGGTGTTGCCATGGCAAGTCCCTTACGAGAACCATCCTAGCAAACCCTTGCCCACTTAACACTACACTTAGGGCAGGGATTAAAATATCGATACGATAAGCCCTGTATCGGGCGTATCGT